CCCATACAGTTTTCGATCTTTTTACTGTCAAGCCCTGAGCGGATAGTATGAGAATATCATGAATCAATCATAACTGATTTACAGTAATATTTTAATTCTTGAGGGTACTATCAGCAGAACATAGAAGTGAGATATAGGATTTTTTTTTCAATTAACTATTTACCAAGAGATTTTATAACCTCGTCGGCACATTCCTTGTTATATTTTTTCTCCTTCATTGGGCATCTTATTTGAAAATCTGTCGCATAGTCCCACCACAACCAAGCCTTATTGGACTCATTTGCCACTCTGAAAACACATAGCTGCCTTAAGTTTTCAATCACGACGTCTTTCCCCTCATAGCCCGAGCTAAAATCTTGTTCAGGATCAGGTGCACAATATCTCCCATGGTTGATGCATTGAGATTTGCACTGTTTGCTTATGGTGAAAGCCTGAGGGCAGTACCAAGTTATATAATGGGGTGTGAATTGAGTATAGCCGCCTTTCTCGAGTATCTGAGCAGCACCCTTAAAATCCTTCAAAAACTCCATCAGCATATCACATTTAACTCCACACTCATCATTACTATTGGACCATAACTCATACTCCACACGATCATCAGGGTGCGGAACAGACTCGCGCCAGTCGAGATTAACATTGACCATATCCCCACCACTGATTGCTTTCTTTAGAGCTTCACCAAAAGTTTTCTGAATAAGAGCAGACGGAACCGTTATATTTTCGATGTATCTAGCGGATGAACTATCCTCTTCAGGGGTGTCCATGGTTATTAAAGGTTCTTCCATATCATCCGCAACAAGCACAGCGGAAGCACCGGCCTTCTGCAAATTCCAGACCTTTAAAGCAAAGAAGCAATCTGGGAAAATAACAAGAACACAGAGACATTAATCGCGGACTGGCATCAAAATATCGAGATATCATCTCCGAGAACTGTCCACATGAAAGTGAATTTATATCCACACATCTACCAGAGAATGTATTAGTTCAATATACTCCAAGATCTATTCAAGCAGCCTATTACAAAGGAGCAAATATAGGCATGTCATCCCAAATCAAACAAAGGGTAATCCATTATTAATCATAAGATCAATCAAACTTAAACTATACCCTAATTAAGGGGAAGAAAATAAGAGCTAAAAAGTCAACCCCAAATTTCAGAAAACAAGTAGGATAAAAAGGGAAAGGACAGCCTTCCAAGCAACTTGAGACAGCTTTTTGGTGTACCTCCACGATCGACCAAAACAAACGTAGGAAGAGCACCGGGCTTGGATTGAAAAGAAATCCCGAACTCGTCAAAAGCCTTACAAGCTTTTTGGTTGTCTTTAGGGTAAACGACGGTAGCAGCCATGCTTCCCCCATATTGAGGTATCCCAAAGTTCCCAATTGCGCTGTCGTAGGTTCCCTTTATCTTCTCCGGCGAAGTCACCGACAAGCTGTTCTTTTCAACCACAAATCTGGCATCGCAGCCACCGGAAGCAGACAACAACACGAAACTTAGAATAACGACATGCAATAGTCTTCTTAACTCCATATCTTTCCTTTTCTTTTGGGGAGGTTTAGGGGTTTTGGGTATCTCAATTTAAGGGATACAGCCAAGGAGAACTAGAAGATCGGGTAAGAAAAACATGTAAAATAGGAGACTTGGGGCAGCTCTGTTTTCTTCTCTTTTTTTCCCGTGTGGAAAAGGGGTGGAAAAGGGTAAAGAAATGGAAACTGTTGGGGTGTTTCTTGACCAAAAGCTTAGGAAAATCACCATCTTTGATATCAATCAACTCCCGGAAATGACTCCGCTAAAAAGTATTAAACACCAATATATTAAATTAAATTGATATTAATCTCATTATAATGCATAAATTATAGTTTTATTTTTAATTTTTTAATATAATCATTCTAAGATCTTATAAATTTATTTAATTGTTCTTTTATTGTTTGAATCAATATCAAAATTTTAAAAAATTTAAATGTATAATTTTTTTATTAATTTGTTGTAATTATAAGATATTATCAATTCGAAATTCTCTTAATCAATAGTTAATGAATGTGTACACATGCCCTATTGACATAGTTACTCAATCCCCAAAATCTCTAGAGAGAATAACACTTCATTTAACTACTAAGATCGTTTAATGGATTATAAATCGAAATAAATCAATAATTTATAAAATATTATAAGATTTAATGACAAATTTTCATTTTTTTCCTAAAATTTTAAACTTCATTTGGACAAAGATTTGCACATTAATTTAGTTGAAAAGTTTTAGAAAAGAAAAATTGGATTAATCTAAAATTTATTTAAGAGTATATGTGTGAGTTTTTTTTTAATGTTTAATTTGTACATTTCAATATTTTAAAAAAATATTCCATTTATACAATTAGTTTACTTTTTTATATTTTTTTTTGAATATTTTCCTTTATTTAATAGAATTATACTACAAGTAGTTAAAAAATTAAGAATATCTATGTGTTTTGTTTGAAATATCTCTTATGTAATTGAATAAATTTTATAAATTAAATATTATATCTATGGAATTTTAAATTAAGATTAGCTGTTAAATGCCGACAAAAAATAGATGTTAATTATGTAGATCTTCTCCCATCAAGATAATATAACTTGGTGAGTTAGGTTAGCCGCCTGTCTTTAAAAAAATTAAAATAAGTAACAAAAATATTTATTTAATCATCTTGGATTATATGATTTGGCAACTTAAGGAACACGTGATTAGATCTAAAATATATATTTCACTTCTTATTTTAACGTGCTTTTAATTTATATACTTATTTTTTTAAAATTTGTTAAAAGGTTTTTCTGAAGACAATTAATAAATCAAAAGTCATGTGATGTATTTATATTCTTAATTTCAAATATTAAGAATCAAATTTTGGTAATATAGAAAAACAAAGATGTTAAGATTTTTAGTATTTATGTGTTTTTATTGATTAGTAACATGTAAATTTGATTTTTTTAGTAACATGCATAAGAGTTAGTCTTATCCTCGTAGTACATTTTATATTAATAGTGTTGTTTTTGTTTTTTTAATTGCATCAATTTAATTTTAAATTTAGTAAATTATATATATCGTCATTTAATTGTTGAAAATTGTCATTGACGGTTATAATGATGATGTAGTAGTCCAATGTACTGACTTGACGATCATGATATTGACATCAAAGTCAATACATAAATAATAACATGACAAATGAGTTTAATTAATTTTTTAATGGAGGTTATGGTACAATTAATTTTTATAAAAAAATATTGAGGGTTTATTTAATCACTAAGAAAAGAAAAAGAATTTAAGAAATTATTAAAATATTAAAAATATATTAAAACTTTTTTGTTTTGTAAAATTTTCTTTTCTTTAACTTTTTAACACCTATAATCAATTTGCACTATTCCAATAATTTTAAATTAATGTAAAATTTTATAATTTTACACTATAGAATTGGATCCTACCTCTCTCTATAGAGAGAATTAAGTTTCCTTTATCTAATGTATAACTTTTTAGGTTTTAATCTTTTCATGATTGTTAGATAAATTAAACTTAATGATTAATATTAAAAAGTTTAAATTGGCGATAATTTATTTATTTTGTAAAAATCATTTCTTTTATTATCGTTTATGTCAATTATTCATTTTTATTTATCAAACAATTCTGAAAAATATAAAATTAAAAAATTACACTATATATATATATATCTCTCTCATATATATATATATATATATATATATATATATATATATATGAGTTAGTTAAAAAAATCAAATTTTGGTTGTTGAATTTTGATGTCAAATCAAATTGAATTCTAATATGAGTTAGTTAAACTAAATTTTCAAACAAAATAATGTTGACTGGTGGCTTCACTTAATAGCTGAGAAAATGATTACACTGCTAACAGCCAACAACCACAAATTTTATGTATTAATATTTCCATACTGATATAATGTAATTGATTGATTTTGGCAGTATGATTTTTTTAACTAAATTTTGGAATGTTACAGCTTAATTTATTAATATAAAAAATAAAAGAATAAAATATACAGATATTATTTATCATGAAAATTTAAATATGTTTTCATAATTTTACAATTATTTAATGCTTCATCATTGTTGTCATGTTGTGGAAAAATAAGTTTCTATAAGCATCATTTAAATGATGATTAACGATGCCTATCCCATTTAATTATACGTGTACTCTTCTGATAAATAAAATATCGTAATTCAAGTAATAATCAGATCTTAATTTGATGATAAAAATAAAATCTTGATGATAAATATAGGCACGTGAAAATATTGTGATTATTATTTTGGGACATATCTCGATTTGTCCATACAAGTGGGGCAATATGAACCGTCAATTAATACATCTAGGATCTAGCCCACTTGGTACAAGTGGGGACAATTATGGAAATGAAGCCTGTCAATGTGACAATTCATCAACTCTTATCTACGGCTCACTGGATGGGTAACTCCGAGTAACTCTTTTTTTTGGTAAAAAATAAAAACAGAAGCCATTCCTTGGGACAAATGATTAGGATAAACTATGTATTTTATCATTAACTATTAGTATCATATTGGTCATCTAACTATTCTTTTTAAATCATACCTAATGTCATTTTTTTTGTTTTATTTTAGTCATCAGTCGTTAAAAAATTAACAATATATTAATATGTCATATCATCATTGAAAAATATAAAAAAATCAATTTTGATAATTTTTTAATTGACAATGACTAAAATAAAACTAAAACATAGCATTAGGTACGATTTTGAATAAAAAATAGTTAGATGACTAAAACGGAACCACACAAATAATTGGATGACAAAATACGTGGTTTACCCTAGAAACTAATTATTTAAGACTTGGGATGCGTATTTATTAGATATTACTTTCTATTAAACATTAAGAATCAGCTTAGATATGCAATCGAATACAAATTTCTTGTTCTCATTCAAATCATGAATGAATAAATAAAAGATAAAAGGAGAAAAATAACTGTCAATGCCAAAATTTTCATTTAAAAAAGGTTGCCATCTATGAACTACATCAACACTACCTGAATTCATCAGCATAATCAAAGCAATCAATCTCTCTCTCCTGCATATAAAATAAAACCATACTCAAACGCATTTAAAAGACAGAGACTATTGTTTAATGAAAGATCAAGGTTGCATCAATAACCAAATCTAATTACTGACTACGGAACTGATGATCATAGGTTGTCTTGACATTGTAAGATTTTAATTTGTACAACTTTTCTGGTAATCCAGTTCTATTATGTTGCATGCCTTTTATCAAGGGGATGTAAAGCAAAAAGATGTTACCTTCGACAATAACTGTCGCTGCTTTCTCAGTAATTGCGTCCTTGCCTTGCTCAAACAAGAATTGGGAGACATAGTCATTTTCTGCAAGGGAGTTAAAGATTTAAATAAGTACAAAAGTCAACATTTTCGTCAATAACTGTCGATATTGACATGGATTGTGGATACATCAGAGTAATAATCATTAGTCAAAAGAAGTTACCTTTTCTAGCTGCTTTTCTTCTCTGCTTACGAATGGTAGCAGTGAGCAATCCTGGTGCCTAGGAACCGGAGGTTGGAAAAAGCGAATAGAAACCTGTAAAATTAGCAGGAACTAGAATGATGAGTATTAAAGCAAAATCAGTACACATGCACATTGTGGTGCATGAACCATTAAAATGAAAACTCATAAAGTAACCTCTTCTCTTTCTGGTACGTATAGCGTTTTGCCTGAACGGTTCCTTCTTTTCGGGATAAAATCAAAGACGTTATGGAAGTTCTCATTTTCCTGTTTATGGAACAAGTATGTTAAATAATAAAAGTGAGAGGCATAAAAAAGTTGACCTGTTAAGATCATTAACCCTACCATCATATGCTTGGTAAATCCATCTTTCCCTAGAAAATGCTTCATAAACTTTAGCTGCAATCAGAAGCAAGAATAAGTTTAGCTTTTTCTCAATATATGCATGAAATGAACTATTAAACCTATTATCAAAGAAATTTGAAGAAATTAAATTACCTGTATCATCTGAGACCATGTTGATAAAGTGAGTTTCTGCCCACCTATTGTCACATGGGTATTTATACATTTCACATCCTGAATGTTATTAACATTATTGTAACAGCTCACGACACAATGAATTAAATACGTGCATAAAACGAAGAAAATCAGTACCTCGAGAAAATTTAAAGCATCTGAGGCAGAATTGAACCCTGTATTTGGATCTTGACTAGGAATACTTTCATTGCTTGTTTCAATCCTGCTTCTGAGCTGCTTTATAATATTGTCCTGCAGTTCCTTGTTTGAATGTATTCTGCTAGATGTATCACCTTCGTGAGGAGAATCCTTGGTTTCAGCTGAAAATTTCTCTAGACACTTGGTTTCGAATATTAAAGCCAGGGCCTCACAAGCTGCTGTACAGACTAATTTATCATTGTTGTCTAGTAGGTCTGAGAAGTATGAAATTGCCCTGCACCGGAATTACACTTTTAATGCGATAAAAGGAGAATTTTGTTAAGACTGCAAAAAAAGATATGATACACCCATGGGAGAAAGCACTTTCAGGAAAATTTAAAACGAGCAACTCTTTCATTAAACCATCAAACTACATCCAAAAAATGTAAAACTTTTTAATTAAGACTCACCCTTTCCAAGTTTTGTGACTCAGTCTCCATCCATCAATAGTAGAAAGAAGAAAGGTCCAAGCAGATATTGCAGCAGAAAGAATAGCTGGAGAATCTTTCCTTTCAATCTAATGAGACGTAAAAGAAAATAAATCCATTTCAGTCTCCAATTTACAGTTAACTAAGTTTAAGAATTGACTAAGAAAATTACAGAAAATATGAACACAGATATCAGTTGGATTTTGGTTAGCTTCTGCAGCTAAGGTTAGCAGCATAAGGAAACAGTAAGAGTTTTAGTTGATATTCATACACTATGGACAGGTTCAGGATTAATGAAGTCCCAGAGCAACTTCATTGCTTGTTCAGTCTCATCTGAATTGCTTGCGCCAAAAAAGGTAACAACAGCCAAGCAGCCAAGAATCTGCACAGAAGAAGAAACTTATAACAAAAGTCCGTGAAGCATAATCATGAAAGAGGTATCCAGAAAATCAAATAGCAATTAATTATCATATTAACTATGACTTCATATTATTATAGAATACACTAGTATTACCTCCAAGGTCTTAAGCTTAGCTTTAAGTTCTCGGGAAAGTGCAGTCAGCACATCTTCATATGCTTCGTGCACCTTATCAACAGAAGTAGTAATCATTGACAGCAATCCTACAAGAACATGTATCAAAACTGTAAGATAAAGTTCAAAGTTAGATTAAATGTCATTGACAAATAATTGCACTTTCCTGAAGGATGAACCTACCGATAATATGTGCTGCTTGCTTCATCTCCTTGGGAGAACCCTTGTTAATGCAATGCAGGCATTGATATACTAGTGTTACAAAGCTGCAACAAGAAGATAATAATAGTGAGAAATTACCTAGTTTATATGTTTTATAAAAAAGAATTTCAAACCGTATGTTTTAGAGGCCACAATTAGATTCTTCTTGAGAATGAAGTTCTGGCTACTAAATAATGCTTACTTCCGGTCAACAAATTTTTGCTCTATGTTGACAGTTAAAGCCTTGAGAATTGATGAAAGCGCTTCCTCTCTCAGTGATGCCCTGCATTTTCGAAATAAACAAGAGGGAAGATTTTAATTGAGTTGAAAACAATGTAAACAATTGGAAATCTATTGAGCTATTAAAAGGAAATCCAAAACACCAAATTCGTAAATCAAAATTTTAGAATTACAAACAAGAGATATTATATAACTTTTCTCAGACAAGTCCCTAGAGTAATCCTGAAGAGTCTTGGAGTGACGACCATGGAAATTGCCCAAATCCAAATCACCACTAGCATCATCAAGTAGAATGCCTCCTCTTGTTGATCGATGGCTGCCTTTGCCTACATATAATGCTTTCAATCTCAATTAACAATGCATTGGGTTCTTTATCAATAAATAAATAAAATAAAATAAAGCTTGCTTTGGGTTCCAAATTAAGCAAGCAACACGCAGATATTACAGAATTAATTGCAGGATTCATGAAGAAGTTTCTGATTTGATGTGTGCAGAAGAAAACAAAGAAAGCAATGCTAAATGGTATGGTTTTCAATCAAATAATGTCTTATAAAACTGTAAATCTATGAAAACTCAAGAAATATTAACGGAACTTACGATTTCTCCTCCTGTCCATGCTCTTCAGGAAAAACTAAAACTTTTCTACTTGCTGCAAAGATACATACTGCCTTGATGAAGCTCTAAACCAATAGAAAGAGAAACTCATTATTGATACGTAACCTTATTAACAGAGTAAAGTTTCCATCTTTCGCTCCCTTTCATCTCAGCTTTTTTTGCTACGAGACAGTCAAATAGCCTACAGCCTTGCAATTAGATACCCTAAAAATCAAATTGGGAATTTGAGATCCTAAGGGATCGATATTCACTTGCTTCGACCAATTGGGTTCTTTTTCGATGTATTTGAATCGCCATGGTGATCTTTTGGAAGCTGAAATTTGGATAAACCAACTTCGGCTAGTTGTGTTTTCTAAAATAATGCTCAACAAGTGTTCGATAATTTGCTTCTCAGGAAGATTAAACCTAAATTATTTGGGATTTTTCTACTTGAGGGGATATCAAACGGCTGTATTCTTAATATCTTGGTAGCTGGGTTTTAGTTAACCGGCTTTAAATAGACTGCCCCAAAGATGCAAAGATTGGCTTAAAACTTTAATTTAGGGTAAAGTACACCATTATTACTTAGATTCTATTTGAGTATCGATTATTTAATTTTTGTAAATTAAATAATTTAATTTTAATTTAATCTTAATTAAAAAATTAATATAATTATATATTCAAATAATTTAATTGTAATTTAACTTTTTAAATCTCAAATTTAACAATGAATTACAATAATTTATAGAGTGACATCACTAGTTAAAGACAATTTTTTTCCCCTTGAGATTCTGGGTATCTTATACTATTTTAAAAAACGAACTACAATTATATATATATATATATATATATATATGAGATATGATCCTACTACATAATAAAGCTCTTTTAGTTTTATATAGATTTATGACTCTTGAATAAATGAAAATAGGTAATTGAGATTAACAATAAGAAATGAGAATATATTCATTGGAGAAAAAATAAAGAGTTAATCTCAGTCATCTATTTTCACTCATCTTACGATTCTAAATCTGTATAAACTTGTAAGTGGATTTTAATCCTATATATATATATATTAACTTGTAAAGGATTTGAGGATTTTATAAGAATTGAACGCAATCTTAATCAAATCTCATATTTAATTATCTGTTATAATATATATATATATATATATATATATATATATATATTGTAGCTGGAGAAGTAAAAGTTACTAAGTGTGAAGTCAGATTTAGATAAATTGAGGGTAAGGTAACACTTAAATTATTAAAGTAAATCTAATAGTTGATTTATAATTGAATATATTTCATAAATATTTTTTAAAATTTTTTCATATATAATTTAAATTGTAATTAATACGAAATTTAAAATAAAAACCATTTAAGAGTTTTATATTTTAAAAATTCATGTATCAAATGCTAAAATTATATATGTTTTCTCGTTGATATTTATATGAAATAATTTATACATAGAGGTTTCAATTAGATCAGTCCACATGTTGGATTATTTGTTCAATCCAATAAATTCGACAATCTCAAACTACATTTGAACACGATAAATTTGATTTGGACTACCTTATTTCGACTATTTTTATCTAAATATCATTATTTGTGATTTTTTTAAAAATGAATACTTACTGTTAAGATGCGTAAATCGTTTTATTTTTCGAGATCACATTAACAAGCATCAAAGACACGTTATCATTGTTGTCTCTATAAATATCGTTTTGGCTTTTTATTTTGAAATTTTGACTTAATTTTTAATCGCGGTATTATCAGAGACGCGTGAGTTGGCATACAAAAATGAGCTGTTTAATGTGGGTGAGTTCGACTTTTCGAGTTTAAACATGGAAATCTTTTGAATCGAGCCTAGGTCCGATTTGACCTCAACTCTTAGTTGCAGAGGTGTTAAACCCTGGTAACATAAAAGAAAACGAACCCAACTTCGATATATTTTGCAAGAAACATTGTTCCTTCCATAATTCAGCTTGTGGAACTAATAGGTTTCTTTCTTGGCAGATTGAGGCAGAACAGATTGCAGTTTCGATATCATCCTGTCCAGCTCCATCAACTTGTCCGTTTCATAGTATTGCCTTAAATTTCTCTGCATCATTTGATAAACCCTTTCACTCATATGCCTTCCTCTCTCCAACATTTGTTTGCAGCATCGATATGCTTCTCGTAACCGTCGTCGGGAGCACAATCCCGTCACCAGAAGATCCAGTGCGTGGCTATGAGGACACTGCCCTTTCTGCACTAAATAATCCCACAAATGTAAACCCTGTTGCAGATGCTGGTTTTCACAAAAGAACTTCATTAGCATCACCACTGTCCGGGTCTTGGGAACGAAATTTCTCTCTGTCATTTTATCGTAAAGCTCGCAAACACCCTCGATGCCACTTGACTTCATTGTTCCTAAAAACATAGTATGATAGGTAATGCCGTCACACTCGATCTGCTTTCGGTCCATCTCTTCCATCAATTCGATTGCGGAATTTATATCTCTGGACCTAATAAGGGAACTGATCATGGCATTATAAGCTCCAGTATCATGATGTAAGTTTCTCTTAGGAATTTCATCGAACAGCTGCCTCGCCTTCGGAATATTTCTAGCAACACCAGCCCCATGAATCAGAGTAGTGATTGTCTCGAGTGTAGGCAGGCAATGGAGGCGTTCCATTTCTTCAAGAAGCCGCAGACCATCCCCCAAACATCCCTTCTTACAGTAAGCATCGATTCGAATGTTGTACGTCATACCGTTCGGATTAAAACCTCTTCGAACCATCTCGTGGTAAAATAGTTCCATTGCAGTAACATCACCCGATTCCTTGAATCCCAAGAGCAAAATATTCATGGTCTTAGTATTAGTCGGAAACCGATAATGCATCTTCCTGAAAACCGATCTGGCCTCTTTCATCTCCCTTTCGGAGCAAAATGCTCGAAGCATAACATTGAACTCATCGGCACCAAAATCCTTTCCGGGAAAAACCTCAGTCTCCATCCTCTTGAATGCTTCGAGGGTATCTTCATATGATTGGAATTTAGCAATTTTGCTTAACATAATGCTCATCGATTTTAGGGTAAGCAGGGAAGGATGGGAACGCTTCATATCCATCATCAATTCCCAAGCTTTATCGAAATAGCGCATCCGTGTGAGGATATGGAGCGTTTTCTCGAAAGCATCCACGCTGGGAGCGAGCTGGGAATGGTGGATTGAATAATTGAAGAACTCCAAGGCTTTTAATCCATTTGAATGTGCCGAAAAGAGTCGACCGAGAACGTTTTCAACGAAAGGTGGAGAAAGGGAAACCGGTGGGATTTGCCGGAGAAGGGTCGGTTCGAGTGGTTCCTCAGGGAAGGGATGGTCGTTGATTATTCTAGTGATTCTGTCGATTTCAGAGGTTAGAGGAAATGGGGTTGATGATTTGTGAACAACGGAGATAAATAAAGAGAGATTTGCTTTTGAAAGTTGAATAATTAAACTGGATTTCTTCTTCTTCAGTAAAGAAGTCATTTTCCCCTCTCTCATGAATCAATTATGGTGGAAAACGAAATTGCTCTCTCTTTTCATCCCTTCACTGATCAGTGGTTAATGCTCAGTGATAAACTGATATTCCATTAAAGAAAGGAAAAAATCGTGAAAGTGGAAAACAATAGAGTAAAATTCTTATTTAGTCATCCAACTATTTTCATGATTTCGTTTTGATCACTTAGCTATTTTTTTCTTTCAAAAGTAGACCTTAACTTTCATTTTTATTCAGTAATGGTATATTAAATAGTTATTCTATATCTATTGAATTGACAGTCCATTAGTATTATTCTAACAAGAATGTTGCGGACTTGCAGGGTCATCGAGAAACAGGAAAGAAGAGATGAAATTAAAATATATATAAACAAAAATGGAATCAAAAGAATCTAAAACAGTAGGTTGTTGGTTCCATTACAAAGGAATTTAACATTTCATGGGGGGGAAAGTAGCTGCAGCCAAACTTGCTAAGGTTCTAGCATGGCAGGTGGGAGGATCCAACAAAGTGGTGGCCAAATACTGTATAAAGAAAACTCAAAGATTGACTTAAAACTTTCATCTTTCAAGTTATATATTCCCATATCATGTCCACCGTATAACAAATCATATTCCATTCGCTCCCAGTTATAATTGGTGAAATAAATCGAGTTCGTATCGCAGTTGGGAAAAGTGTGAGTTGAGATCGAAACGGATTGATTTGCCCTCAAGAACTGAGGTCGATCGCCTAAAGATTTTATCTCCGTCCATTGTTGTCCATCGGAATCCAGCTTGTAAACTTGGAACAAAATTGTAGAGTAATCAATTGAACAATCCCATTCATGTAGCAGACAGTGTCCTATCCTCCCTATCCACATAATCCCCAATGAACCTCCCTACCAGCAGAAGATCTCCACATGATTCGACAAGTAAAACCTGCTTCTGCAGAGACCTCTCAAGGAATCTTCTTTTGCAAGTAACTTGTTGGGAATGGGAAGATCGATATCGGACTTTTTCGTGATACTGCTGCCGCTGCCTTATTCCAAGTCCCATACTTCAATACTGTTCTTGTCATCCAATGCATAGAGATTGTTTCCATGGCAGAGTATGTCTTGGTAAGGTGCATGGCTAACATTGAGAACGGTCCAGGAATCGTCTCTGGCACTTCCTTAATATGCAATCTCTTCATCGCAATTGCACAACAGAACAAGACCATAGTTCCCTCGTTCGAATTTGGTTTTCATGTCAGGATTGTTTTTTGAATAAAACGTGCTCACACTTCTTGTTTCACACACCACTTAAACAGAATCCTGCAATTCTTCTTATAATCCTCGAAATAATCGAGTTCATAGGCGCCATCCATGTTTCTTTCCATCTTTTTCAAACCTAGAAGACAAACAACCGGAGGGAGTTGTATTTTAACTTGCCTGAAAGGGTTGAACAGAAAAAGGATTGCCTTGTGTTCCAAGAAAACAAACCATCCATGTGATGAACCGATGAAGCAACTTTCCCTAAACTCCTTTGGCGTCGTTTTCAAGCTATATACCCGATTCTCACCGAGATTCAAAAAATCGTTGTAGCTGTTATTTCTGGCATCGGCAACATCTCCTTATTCAACTTCTTCTTTAGAAGGAAGCATAAGCCATGGCATCTTGGAAACCTACTCTTCTCCTACCAAGTTCCATGAATAACTGACAGCTTTGGCTTGAACCACATCTGTGAAACTCAAATTGTTGACGATAGAACGCAATAAATCGGTCGGAACTCAATCGAAGACGCTTGATGCTAATGGTGATGAATCAAGTCTTTTTCTTCTTCTTCTTTTCATCGGGTTTCTCTTAGCTTGTAATACTTTCGTCGGGTTTCTCTTAGTTTGTAATACTTTCACCATGAGATAGAACAACAATGAAAAGAGAATGTGATGAGGATCAGGTTATCTAGAAATTAAAATTTGCACTAATATCAACGGAAGAGTTGATTTAATTTTTTAGTGTTATTAGTTTTAATTTTAAATGATATTTTGATAGTTGCTTTTTATATTATTAATTAGTTATTTTATTTATATGATTTTTAATAAAGTTGAGAATCATATATTTTGATAGTTGATTTTTATATTATTAATTAATTATTTCGATAGTCAATAACAATCTTTTAAAAAATATAATAACTTGAAACTATTTAAATACATTCAATCATGTTACTTGCTGTTAACGGTTAACGGAAGTGCTGACGTGATAATTAATAAAATTAGTATTATTAGATATTTAGTCCTTAATATCTATACATTCTATCAATTTAGTCATAATTTAATTTAATCCAATAAATATAATCATCTAATCATATGATGACACATGTTATCATTTGATTAATTTTAAAAAAAAAAATCATAATTTTTTAATATAATATTTTTCATCCAATAACATGTCACCTTCTGATTAAAGGAAAAATAACTTACAAAAGGGTGATAGGGGACCGTGTCCAAGGGATTGGAGGATTGAGCAAATGCCAAGTGCCACTAAGCCAAGCCTTCAATTGTAATATATTTTACAAAATTCTGTATACAATATATTGCAGCTACTAAAAAATATACTTATTTAGGGATTTAAACCTAAGAAAACTATAAGATTATGACTTATTCAAGGACTTTAATCTCAAATTAATACAAGATTAAAATTAAAAAAAATGTATTTTTAAACTAAATTTAATATTTTTTATTTTCCATTATTATAATTTAATGATTTTAACTTTTACATTTGAGTTGAAAAATATTTTCAAGTGCACTTTTTATCCAACAGTTATAAGTTTATAAATTATAAAATAAACACATCATAGGATAACAAATAAATGTTAAAAATATAATTTTTACTCTAAAAATGATTTTCAATTTTTTTTACTTTTACTTTTGAGTTAAAGAAATACATATAAAACATATTTTTTTCTTTTAAATATTATCGTTTAATATTATTTATAATTTTAAAAATATTTTTAAAAAGTAACGATGAATAGGTTAATTTAAATGATTAAAACTTAAAGATAATTGTTTATACATTCTATTTGGATTTTTTTTCATTTAATGAGATTGATAATCGAACATTAAAATTTTATGATAAATTGATATGCATTTCATATAAAGAAGAAATATTAAATTTAATTTAAAACATAAAAATATTAAATTTATTTTTATTTTAAATATTATTTTAACTACACAGATAACATGTATTTAATTATTAACTAATAATTACAGTTTTTGGTGAGCCAAGTGTTTTCGTATTTCGTATTAGGCCAAGGTTCAAGTCCTTTTATTGTTAATTTTATTTTCATTTTTTCTTATTTTTCTTAAAGTATAAGTTAAATAAGATATGTTGTAAAACTCTAACTAAATATTGGTGTTGGCCTAGTGGTGGAAGCATGAATAGGACCCAAGTTGGAGTCATCCAATGATATTGTGACACGTGTTTTATGACGATCTTTTTCTCGAAAGCGTATTCGGAATAAATTGAGAAATTGGAATTAAGATTCGGAATTTTAGAAAAAAATTGAAATGTTTGGAGTCGCCATCAACCTTTGGGATTAGGTAGGTTGAAAACTCGGTATACACTCTTTTAAATAAAAATTTAAAAAGATGTGATTTGGCTTGCAATTTAGAGATTATGGGTTCGGGAGTCAATTATCCTTGGGGAATTATTATCAACCCACAACGTCAAAAAATTGGTACTTTCAATTACGAATTTGTCCCTATATTGAAAATTAAAATTTTTGAATATTTATTTAATTGATGATTCTTTTATTCCAAAAAATAATAATATTTTAAATCTAATTAAAGAATTTTAGATAGACGCACAAAATTTATCTATTTCTAATTAAAGAAGAAATTAACCCTTAATCATAGTTAAGACGATTATTTCTTATGTTTTAATCGAAATAATGAAATATTGTCATTCTTAAAAAAATTATAGAATTAAAAGAAAATTAAGTGTGACAAGTTAGTCAAATTAGTATTTAAAAGAATAATTATGTTCCTTAATTTAAAGAACGAAGGCCAAGGCTTTGACGTTAATCAAATAACATGTCATTAGCAATTTAAATGTAGTAATTAACCTCTACCGTGTTGTTTTAATTAATGAGCCTATTTAATTTTTAGAATGGCCACCGGTAAAATATTTATTTATTTGAAAATATTGAAAAAAATGTATAGTTATTTTAAAACCATTCTTTTCAATATTTAAAAATAAATAGATATTCTATTTTAGTCAAATTATGAATTTATTCATTTGTTTCTAATTAATTTTAAAGAAACTAATCCTAAAAGGATAATTCTAAACTTAATTAATTTCTAATTAAAGAACTTAAACTAAGGCTCTAACTAATGATTAAATATTATATAATATTAAAAATGTCATGTGTCACCACCGGATAAAATGGGTGATGACAACGTGTTGTCACATGATTGGAAGATTAAATGTATTGGAATTAATTTAAAATTGTGACCAATTTGATAGAATGTATAAATATTGAGGACTAAAAGTATAATTATACTAATTTATTAACTGTCACTTCAGCACTTTCGTTAATTGTAACGGCAAGTAGCTTGATTGAATGTATTTAAATAGTTGGGTGACTTGATTGATAAAAAAATAAAATTGATGGTCAAAGTGAAAAGGGGAAATAGTTGGGTGGTCAATGGTATAATTTACCATTTTAAAAATTATAGGATGAGGTTTAATTAAGAACATTAAAAAAATTAATGTTTAATATGAATTTCTAAAAATTTTAAGAGGGTAAATTAAATTTTTTGAAAATTTTAATAATCTAAATTATAATTTTAGTATTTTTGCTTAAAAAATAGGGAGGAAAAAGTTAGTCTAAGTACACTATTTTCTCTCTTTTTCACTCTTTTTATAGAATTTATTGGTCATTGAATTGTTGACGTATGTTGACATCTTAGCCCTTTAACATTACAAATATTTATATTCTTCTAATAGATAATTTTAGACATAATATTAAATAATAAAAATATCTAAATTATTTTATAGATATATCTAGACATCTACT